ATATTAGGATATAATCGCAATGTGGTTAGATGAGACTACCTTATTTTCGGAAAGACATTGCATGTCTAGAAAGAGTGAATTGCTTGGTCCCTAGGCACAGTGAGGCAAATGTTAGGAGCACGGACTCGAGGAGTTTAATCAGTTCTCGTTCAAAAAAGGAGAACAAGTTAGGATCACATCGAAGTTTTCAAGATAATCAACGGTCACGCCAGGATCAATATGGAGGACATATTCCAACTCATCTCTCCAAGTGATACTGGGGGCACTGTCTGAGGCTGCAGCGCAGCCTCATTAGATTGGACGTGTCAAGTATTTTGGAACTCGCGTGCCACCTAACTGGGATAGTCTATCTGAAGAGGTCGTAAGAAACCATAACATCATAGTCTTTAACAGGGTATTAGATGATTGTTAGCCCACTTAATTCGCTTAAGCAGTTTGAATGTATTTATCTCATCATCATCAATATCGTCCGGCGAGATACATTAAGTATCTATTTTCATAAGCTCCATTGCTTAGGATGTGATACCGAATCTCCTATTCTGCCTTTCAGAAAGGCCTATTCACTCGTAATGTTGGAAGGCCGACAACACAACTGGAGGCAGGACTAGCCCGTACAAGCTGAAATGAAATAATGCAGCCCTCCCTAAAACTTGCAGCGGTATAGAGGAATTGTATTGACCGCTCATTACGAAGGTGTCTTTATGGTCATGGGTTGTGGTGGCAGTATTTAGTCACTGTTACTGGGGTGCTTTGGACACTGGCCGCAAAAAAGTAAAATATCGTTCGGGAACAAGAATATCTCAAATCAAAACTGTAGAATAATAAGAACATCAGACCAAAATTTATGGTGAGAGATGAAGTCAAACTGCCGCTGACTAACTCAGACTTACTCTAATTCAACTTCAACATCTGAAAATTTCCTAGCTGCGTTACAACTGGCTTGACGCAGCTCTTTATCCGGGGAGACATGCTGCATGGAATCGATTGCATTTCTTTCGGTACCATAATCAGCCTCGAACAACGCCAGTTTCTAAACAGAGCAATTATGTTTGCAAACAACAAACAAGACTTACCTTGGCCACTTCGTCCCAAGAAGGATTTGTAAGAGCAGCGATGGAATCGCATACTGATCTCGCTTTAACAATCAAATCGTCTGTTCGAGACTTAATCCCCTCCACGGCGACATCCCACTGGATCCGACAACCAGGTTCGGTTGACATGCGGACAATTCCGGGAAACACTGAGCTTATGGAACGAAGTGAGAAAATTCAATTTTCTAGCCTAAACGTGGAGCGAAATATCCGACTCACGCAACAATAAGAGAATTTTGCCTTAAATTTAAGGAAAATGTCGACGACGCTTTCAGTGGAAGCGGTAACTCAAAGTAAAAATCTTTCGCAATAAAATGTTTTTCCATACATCGTTTCAAACAATTCTAAACCCAAATTTACCAGCAAATTACTCAAACCACAGCTCTCTGACTATGGCATAGTTTGCGTTTCCTGGGTCGGCCTGCGTACGTGACGTGTCAAATGCCTGTTTGGTTTTGTTTCGCCGATTGGGTGACGAGCCAGCCACTGGAGCAAAGATTCCTCCTTTGAAGGAGTGTAAAACGGAATGATCGCTGCCTCAGGAACGTCCTACGAGTTTTCTTCCGGTGGCGCAAGAATTATATCCCCAATGACGAATATTTGGTGGCCAGGGCTCGCCTCTATTGCGTACACGTATTTTGTGTGCTGGTTGTGCACGTTACGAAAGACCAAATGCTTTTGTAACGCTGCAAATCATTTCTCAGGGTCGTGAGGGATGAACGCGCTCAGATTAAAGCTGATAACCAATGGGTTCAGTTCTCTATCATCTAATGGTTTCAGCTCCTAGGCCACCGACCAGTAGAGATAAAAGAAAAATTGTACAAATAAAATTAACTGGGAGAAAAATGTGCTAATGAAACTCAATTTGAATCATCAAGCAAAAGTTTCCCGATCATAAACGGCTACTCGAAGTAACGACCGGTTGACGGGACTTCTTACAGATTCTCTGTTTACGTGCGCGACATCCTAATGTTTCGTTGTCCGAGGGGAAAACACTCCTGTTTGTCCTAGACATTTATTGGCCTATCGTGATACTAGAATGTTCCGAATGCGTGTCTATATGATGACTAAACGATGCACGCAAATAAATGCAACAGCGGCGCAAAAGCGTGTCACACGTGTTGCGTAGCATAGAAAAGGACCCACCTTATAAATACATATCAGCAGAAAACCGTGCCCAGTGAAAAACAAGCCGTTGGGTGAAATAGAAAAAAATATCACAGCAAGAGTGGAAATTGATCGTTAATGAAATATGAACGGGAAACTTTTGTTGTGTATTGCGCCATTGCCTCATAAAATCGGCATCACGGCAACTACGGCTGACGTTCCCTTTGTATTCAATGTGTTTTTAATCCTTCCCAACCCCCAATGATACCATTTGACATAACTCAGTTCGTGCCTCGCTTGTTTATTGATGCATTTTCACACACAAACACCCACACATTATTGTTTATCTGTTGACTCGATGCCCACCACATTTAAATGTGGCGTGGAGAGATAATGTGATCAACATTACGGCTCTCGTTGGACATCTTATTTGGTTCCTCATCGCTTGAGTGCCTTTGGCCGCATATCTGAGGTTTGGTTTCTTCTACATTTTGTAATATTTGCTTAATCTAGTACCGCAGAACACTACGAATAAATCGTGTTTTTTAGGATTCGTATCAATTTTGTCTACGCGTCACTCAAATGCGATTTGGTTGACGTACAACACTGGACTACAGATAAGATGTTAGTATTGTGTATGAGAGAAAGAAGTGGTCCCAAGACAGTGCCTTGTATAACTTCACTGATAACGGTAGCAGGTAATGAAAAGTGGCCGTTGTCGCAGACTGACTGGGATTGATTTAGGAGGAAGGAGAGTATTTTCCAGGAGCCTCCCGAACAAGGAAATATAGGGAATGGATACAACCTAAATAGATGACGGTGCACCCTATGTGTTAGATCAAGCTTCTTGGGTGATAGAGGAGTAAACAATTAGACCCGGTTGCCAAAGGAATTAGTAGATTTAGGAAGTGTGACTGTATTTGAGTGCACTCTAGATGAGCAATGCACGGAAATCTTTCCATAATAGGATTTTCAATGTACGTGAATCACGTTTATGCTACATTTTCCTTGTTTGTCGAAGAAGTGAAACCAGACGAGTTTTCCTCTTCCTTTTCACCAAGGACATCGGAGGGTAAGCAATTCGCAATGGTGAGTGCACACTTTGTCAGCATACTGCCGGAAAACATTCGGACGCTGAGCTGGTCGTGGCCATTATGAGTCCTGTGCAGCCTGATCTGACCTGCAACGGCGGAGACGACTGAGATGGGTAGAACCCGTGAAAAACTTCTGATATAGAACACTCGCAGTGGTAGAGGCCAAAATGTGGGCTTACTACTGAAGGAACTCCGGACGGTCGAATGGCCGTGGGCTTCGCTTGTCCTGTGTAAACTGAACTGGCGTGAACTGAACTCACGCAACTTACCTAACAGTTCACTCACCAGTTTGGAGAAATTAGATCCTATTTCCCATTTTTATTTCCGCAGAGCGGGGTGCCCACGTAGTAGCATACCATCAAAGGAATTCGGGATGCTGGACGTCAATGAAGTCGCAGGAATAAGGGCCGGTGTTCCTTTAGATAAAAGCCATCACTCGCCGGTGTACTTCAAATTTCAACACGTGTAAGCCCCGAGGCCCAAAATGGGAATCCGAAGGTTCCGCAACATCATTTTTGATGCCTCGATCGACGGAGCAAAGGGTCTATGCTGGGACATCAAGAGCTTCACAGAGCAAAGTTGGATCCTGATGAAGGACAACATAGCTGACCCCAAGGATACCATGAAGTCTTCACATGATTGACGGATTTAAGACCGTTGTCCAAATGTCCCGGGTCCCTGGAGGGTATCTGTGCTTTCTATTTGTAGAACAGAGAGTTCAGTTTTCAGTCGGTGTGGCCATTAATTACGTACTATTGTGCGCTAGTTTTGGTTGCTGTACTTTGGCTGCCCATTTGCATAAAACATAAGAGAAAGAAGAAAGAGGTTGAAAGTGAGGTTAAAGAGAAAAATTAGAACATCACTGAACTAATTTTGCTGAGAAATTAACGAGATGCATGAAAGCCACTGTTTACAACACTATCACGAGAAGCCTAACCTTCTTCTGATAATTCTTGCTGTACGAATCAGAACCGGACTGGGATCAGTCGTGACCGCGTAAACGTGTCTGCATTTTCTTGATTGTACTGGAAACTTGTGGGTCAGATTAGGAGTACAAAGCACAGTCACTTGATTTCTGACAAGTCCTCAATCACCATCCACGTAAACCCCATTCCGGACAAATGTCTAGATGGTGAGTAACCATACAAAAACCACGCGTTCTCTTTCCATTACTTTACCAGCGCCACGACCACGACCACATCTTGGCTGGTGATACCAATGAAAGCTCGCACTTTTTTTCCAGCTGTCTCTTTACTATAATCGTTGGGAAACGCATCGTGAGATCAGGTTCAGTGATAGTTCGGCAAGACACAACAGACACTCAGCCATATCACTTAGTGTTTCTAACCATCGGTTACAATAATCTCGAGGTCTCCAGCCAAAGACCCTCACTGGACTTATGTAACCCAGTATCCAGGTGAGAAATTTCATACCTTAATGTCAGGTCTCCGTTTGGCTACCCTTGACCATGTTTTAACCGCTCCCTGCCTCGGCAAACATCGCTTTCCATGGCCACCTATCTGATGATGTGCGTAACACACGTCGCAACCAACGTGGTATATAGAAGTGGACTAATTGATTTAGGGGGCGACCGCAGTTACCTAAAATTCAACGTCTAACCTCAGCATTGCTCCTCCGCCTGCCCCACCAGATTCGTGCAATGCCGCGTAGATAGCGGTGTTGAAACACTGAAAAACTCGTTTTATCCTGTTCGCGTAATGGCCGATTTTCTGCACCGTAGAGCAGAACTGGCCGAACTGCTGCAGCATACACTCGGCCCTTTACAGACAACCGGATGTCGTGACGGCGCCACAAATGTCTCAAGTTGGTAAATGCCAACCGAGCCTTCTGTATGGGCACAGCCACTTCATCTGCGATGCGTCCGCCAGGTGAGATGTAGCCGCTCAAATAACAAAACTTATCCAGTTGCTCTATTACTTCCCCAGTTAGAGTGAGTCTGGGTGCTGGAAGAACCCAGCAACATTTTACACTTTGAAAGTAAAACGCGCATACCAAACATGGCTACACTGGCATTCAGGCTGCCCAGGTAAGCTTGCAACTTACCTGGATCTTCAAATAGGTGCACAATGTTGTCTGCATACTCCCGATAAGACAACCTGCCACGTGGAAGTAAATTGATGTTACTATCTTAGGG